CAATTCAGATAAACAAAGACATCAGATGGGAAATGCAAAACAAGTGCTCAAACATCAGGAAAAAAAACATAAAGCTAAGATTGTTTGGAGAGAAGCATCTTCAGAAGGTGGGTGATCTCAGAAGAAGATTCTTCTTGCTTGGACATCCATTTCTCAATGTTGTCAGTATTCTGATCTTGCCTTGCCATCCAGGATTTTATCTCAGATTGACCAGCTTCCAGCACAACAATCTTGTCTTCTAAGTCTGGGTTCTCTTTCTTAATCTCAGAAGAAGTAGACAGAGCAGATTCTGATGCAGGAGTAGGAACAGAGTCAATGACCACTGCAGTTGCAGATTCTGGAGGCACAGATTCAGATGATTTGTCCACAATCATTAGAGCTAAAGGATTCTCTTCCAGAAAAACTTCAGAAGCAGATCCTTCAAGAGTCTCAGAATTAGCAGACACTCCAGAAGATGAAGGTGCATCCTCAAGAAGCAATGTAGGAGATCTGGTCATATTCCAAAGCATTATTCTGGTAATCTCAGCGAATCTGATCTTCGCATCATCAGAGAAGACACTCTTCAGATTTGAAGCAATAGTGTTGAATCTGGAGATGAACTTATTCCAACATTCTTCAGAAGCTTCTAGATTGATGCTTGAGAGACATTTCTCTTGAACATAATTCAAACTCATCCTTATTTCTTTCTTGAAACTAGCAAATAAGGCATCAACATCTAATCTGGATTTGGGTTTAAGGTAGGCTTTCAGAGGTGTTGGTTTGGGTTGTTCTGGTGGAGGTGGTATGGTAAAAGTTGGGATGATGAACAGAGGACGAGGATAAGAAGGTAAAGAGGGATGGTCAGATGATGAAGTGAAGGTTTTGAGTCTAGATGAAGATGAAGTGGGAAACAGAAATGATTTGAAATTTGATGCAGAGGGAATGACATCAAAAGGTGTAGAGGTATAGGGGGTAAAAACAGAGTTTTGAGAAAGCAGAGGTTCTGAAGGAATGATATCTAGTTGTTGTTTAAGATAGGTTTGAAGAACAAATGGAAGAATAGTTGAAGAACTAGGCTTATATGGAGTGGTAGGGTCAGATGCTTCAATTCTGGTATAAAAGTTTTTAAGTTTTAGACCAGAGGGAAAGGGATCAGAGGGATATGGTTTAAAAGAAGTAAAAGATATAAACTCAGAAGTTCTGAGTTCATAGCCACGGAGAGAGGGTGGTGAATAAACTTCTGGTGGTAGGTCAGATTCAGATGAATCAGATGATTCAGATGAATGACAGAATGTAGAAGAGAGTTCAACCAAAGTAGTTAAGGGTTGAATATCTAGAACTACAGAATCAGGTATTAAAGGTTCAAATGGTTGGATAGATTCTGGTTGTGGTTGTGGTTGTGGTTCTTGTGGAGTTGTTTCTGGTTGTTTTGGTTCAGCTGGTGTTGGTTCTGGTGGATTAGAAGTTTGTGGTTCTGGTGGGGGAATTTCAGATGATTGTGATGCAAGAGTTTTTTTTGTCAGATGGGGGAATATCAGATGGTTTAGAATGTGTTGGTTCAGATGTATACTTTTCAGATGGAGTTGCTATAGGTTGGGGTACATAAGAAGCTGTAATAGAAGGTTTCTTAGGTTTAGAAACACGAGGAGGAGAAGGTGAAGGTGATGGTATAGGTTCATGAAGAGTTTGATTAGATGTTAATACCACTTTGACAGTTTCCAGAATCTCGTCTAGACTTGCCTCTGGAGGATTGACCTCTTGCTTCTTGACCCTTTTTGGCTTGACAGCAGCAGCTTCACCAGTAGCCTTCTGTAACGCCCGTTCACTTTAATTAAATTATTTACGAATTGTTGGTGGGTGTCCTTGAAGTATAGGAAACCATTTAATAAATCATTGAGTTTGATAATAATATAATATAATTAATAATGATGATAATTTAATAACTAGTAGTAATATTATATTATTATTATTATTATTATTATTATTATTATTATTATTAGTAGTAGTAGTAGTAGTAGTAGAGAGAATAAAGGGAATTAGGGAGTTATTAGAGAAGTTGTGCGAGAAAGAGCAAAAGAACGATAAACCGCTCAGAAAACCAAATTGGAGGAAAAAGGCTGAAAAAGAGGAAAAAAACGTGGCTGTGGAGAAAGGAAGAACAGAAGAATTAACCGCCGGAGAGAATTGAAGGTTGTTGCAAAAGAGTCACCGGGAGAGCAAATCGGAAGTTTAGAGTTGTCCTCAATCCAAAGGTAAGGGTTGGGTTCAATTCTATAACCGTGGGTATGATCGATTTCATGTAGGGAATTGAATCATAGGATTAATGTTCCTGTAGATCGATAAATATTAAGGATTAATGTTCCTGTAGATCGATAAATATTAAGGAGTAATGTTCCCGTAAGTTAAAGAAATATTAAGGATTAATATTCTCATAGAAATGTTCCCGTAGTAATGTTCCCGTAGTAATATTCCCGTAGTAATATTCCCGTGGAAATGTTCCTGTAGTAATGTTTCCGTAGGAACGTTACCGTAGTAATGTTCCCGTAGGTTGAGAAATATTAAGGGTTAATGTTTGTCTACGCCTGCATTAGTGTTTATGTCATTAGTTTATGTAGTAATGTTGGGAATCAGCGCCGACACGCGTTAATTTCCCATTTATTGAGAAAAGGTTGTTATTATGCTCTTACTTGATCGACTTCAGGTAGGGAATCGAATCATAGATATAGTTCCCGTTACTCGATAAATGTTAGGGACGAGGTTTTTCTGTGTAGGAATGAATGTGTTATATCGTCAGTGTTGTACGATGCTGTATGGTTGCCCTTAATGAGGCAAGATTAGTTGCCCCGAGTTAACAAACCTTTTCAGGAACTACAATTAATTTAGTGAGTAAAAGTTGTAATGTTGTTCTTACGATAATGTGCTAAATTCTTAATTGTCGAAAGTATGTTGTTATTGTTCCCCTACATGAACATATTGAGATGATGAATCCTTGATGCATATGAAGTTGTTATGTCATTTTTGAGAAAATATTATTATAATATTCTTCTTGGATTATGTTGATAAGTTGTAGGTATATGATGAGGGGTATGCCTCTGTTATGGACAATTTGGTTGTAGGCTTAATGCCTTGTTGCGTGGTTGTTGTTATTATGTCCCTATTTAACTAAATTAGAAGTTGTAGTTATATTACCCGTATGAAGGTATATGAAAATGTGTTGAGTTCTTATTTGTAGTAATGATGTTGTCAGTTGTTCTCTGACATGAAAATGCTGTTGAGTTCTCAATTATAGAGACGAGGTTGTTTTTAATTGTTCTCTGCGAAAATGTGTTAGAGTCTTATTCGTAGGAACGATACTGTTGGTAGTTCTCTGATATGAACAGATTGAAGTGGTGAGTACATGATGTATGCGAAATGTGATGTTTCTGTTATGGATAATTGGTTGTAGGCGTGATGCCTTGTTGCACGGTTGTTGCACAGTTGTTGTTGTTGTGTTATAGTCCATAATAGTTGCATCTCATAGCATATCATTTGGCCTGGATTGGCGATGGTTGTGTCTTTAATGACAAAATAAAATGATTGTGGAGAGTTGTCTCCCGAATTATTGTGGAGTGTTGTCTCCCGAATTATTGTGGAGAGTTGTCTCCCGAATTATTGTGGAATGTTGTCTCCCAAAATGGTACCACATGCATATGCACAGTTGAGTTGCATTGTTGAGTCGCATTGTTGAGTTGCGTTGTTGAGTTGTTTTGATGAGTTGCTGAGATATGATGATAATTGTTGTAGTTATGAATAAAGGGTGGTTGTAGTTTATTATTACTAATATTTATGCAAACTGCTGGAATTATAATGCTGTGATAATATTCTGACATGACTTTTATCATGCCTTATGTTATGTTGTTGATATCTCACCTTTTACGTTGTATGTTACCTCCGTTGGTGGTAATTTGCAGGTAATCCGGAATAAGTGTAGCTTTCCGTTTAAAGTTGTTGGTCGCTCTGATACGTAGCACTTTTGGGGGGATGAACGATTGATGTTATTGCTTTTATTTAATTTCCTTGTTGCTGAATTTTATCAAGTATTTTTCATTAAATTGGTGGTTGCTGTTAAGTGCCAAATGTTGGTTGGATGCACTATACCGATGAATTAGTAGTGCTGATTTTTATGGTTGAAACTCGTTGTTTATGTTGAATTGATGCAAGATAATTACTTGCTGAATTTTAATGGAGTTTTGTTGCAAATTTCATGGTTTTGCTTTAATCATGCTAAATGTTAGAAATGTTTTATATTCCGCTGCAAATTAATAAGATGCCTTGTAATCAAAATGTAAATCAAGTTATTGTTGTATGTTCATCCAGACTTCTGTGCTATGTATCATTACTAAATGCGTGATGTCTAATTGAGTTGTGAAATGTGTTGTTGTTGTTGTTGTTGTTGTTGTTGTTGTTGTTGTTGCTGTTGCTGTTGCTGTTGCTGTTGCTGTTGCTGTTGCTGTTGTTGTTGTTGTTGCTGTTGCTGCTGCTGTTGCTGCTGCTGGTGTTGTTGTTGTTGCTGTTGGTGTTGTTGTTGTTGTTGTTGTTGTTGTTGTTGTTGTTGTTGTTGTTGTTAATAAAGTTGAGAGAGCAAGTAGATTTTTGAAAAGGTGAAATGTTGTTTTCAAAAATATATTTATGAAATTTTTTTAAAAATATATTTTAAAAATAAATATATTTATAAAATTAGAGTTTAATTCAAAAATGAATAAAATATATATATTAAAATACGTTAAAATATATATATTAAAATACGTTTAAATTTATATATATATATATATATCTAAAAATTAAAGATATTTTTAAAATTTTACATAGTGATTAAGAAATATAGATGCCATAAGAAATGCTCAATTTTAATTGGAAAGTTCTTGGCCATGCCCAATGTCAACAAACATCTGAAAATAAAAATGGGCCTGCGGCCCAAATAGCAGAGACGAGCATGGAAAGGGAATGATCACTGAACATTCTTGATCATTGACCTGAGAGAGATGAAGGAACGGTCTATCGGTATGTATCGGTACGGGTTCGTCGTTGCCGTGGTTGTGGTGTTGGCTCTGGGTTGCGGTGCTTCATCGGAACAACTGAGCTCAAGAGAATGCGAGAATCTCGGTTTCACCGGACTCGCTTTGTGCTCTGACTGCAATACTCTATCCGAGTATGTCAAAGACAAAGGTTAAATTAAATCCATTTCAGATCTCTCTCGCACATTCAATTTTATTTCAAAATCAATTTTACTTCGTTCTAATTATTGGATTTTATCACTCACCGAAGTACGAATCGGATTGCATATTGGTTAGGGTTTAGTTTCGTTTCGAACAGATTTTGTTTGCTTGTTTCAATAAATTAAGTGGGGATTATTCTAAGCTCGTAATTTGGTTGCAGAGTTGGTATCGGATTGTCTCAAGTGTTGCGCGGAAGACTCCAAGGATGCCACTACCAAGGTACGATCATTTCGATTCCATAGGAATTGTTGATGATGCTTAGGCCATTATCAGTGTTGCCTTACTTTTGTGCAAATTCTAGTATAGGGTTTAAACTAGCCTAACTTCAACCTTAATCTTTACGTGAAGTGAATGATTTGAAATTTAAGTGATAATGTAAAAATACAAGAACCTCTAGTAATGCAACCCGTCATGAATGGCTCAAGTGATCTCTTCTGTGTACATTACTTCGAAACAACCTGCTAATTTTTTACTATAATTGTGCAATTTGTTAGAACCTATGATGACCATCAAACCCAAACATATTGTTTAGGACAAATAGCTTTGGCAAGCAATCGTCCTTGTAAGTTGCTTCCATTGTTATTCTTTTCCAACAGTGCTTGTTGGAGAAACTCGTATACTAAGAAGTATGGATACTTGATGCAATGCGAATATGACATGGATTAGTTTTATCAAATAGCGGCGCCATGACCACTATGACGGATATACATGGTGGTTTTTGGGCTTGCCGCAATAGAAAATACCGGCCGATATTGCATGTTTTTCCGTCATAATCCACTATAACAGCGCCACAAAGCGGTTTGTATGGCGGGATTTTGGCTCTCCGCCAGGACAACATTGCCATGGATATTAAAATACTGATATTTAATGAAAGACTATAAGAGAAGTTATTAGGAAAGATCTCGAGATTAACGATTTTGATAGAAGAATGGTTTTGCATACATGACATTATGGTGGAAGTTGATCCATGTAGCCAACCTCACTTAGTGGGATAAGGCTCGGTGCTTGTTGTTGTATATAAATGCACAATATATAAACAAAACTAAAAATGATAATTAAGAAACATTCACATTATTGAAAATGATCATAATAAGTGCAAAGCAGCAGAGATGTAAAAAAAGAAAGTAAGAAAAATAGGGACATGCAGAAGCGAATTGCAGTAGAGATGAAAAAACCGAGAGATGAAATGGAGAATATCAAAAGAGATGAAAAACTAAAAGGATGAATGGAGGTTATGAGAAACGGAATCGAGAAATAGAAGGATGAGTGGAAAAACCTGTTCACATGAAGGTGAAGGGCGCTGTGGCGTGCAAAAACTAAACATGTGTGAATCATAGAAAATGAAGCAGGTAAAGGGGCATGCAAAAGTAAAACATGTGTGAATCATAGAAAATGAATCAGAGTTGGGAGGGAAATGAAGAGATGAACGGGAACAGTTTGGATGGGAATGTTTGCATGACAATGAAACGATTTTCAATTTCTATTTAGTAAAGGATTTAAAAAAAATACATATAAACACATCTTGCGTGTATTTGGACAAGCCAGCTGTATCTCGTGCACATATATGTGTGTCCCAAACTTATCAGCCACATTTAAAAAAACAAAATTAATTGCCATATACTTCTCTGACATGTATCGGACACGAGTCAAATACATGTCAGACACTGATGCTTTGGCATTTTTTTGGAGTATCCGGGCTTCACAACTCGATGACATGCTTTCAAAGTTTTCAAAGTGATGAAAACCACATCATCTTGCTTTTACCCTTTCCTTCATTACATATTAGAGATAAGAAATCATGTGAAAGTAAAGTAGCATTTCTTTAGGTACAAAAATAAAGCATATCAACCGCGTATTTTTTAAGACGGAAGCAATGAAAATATCCCCTAAGCAAGATCATTATCTCAATGTTTGACTAGCTTGCCCAATATCAAAGTTTGGAAGTAACTAAACATCAGGGTCGAGCGTGAGTGTGTGCAATTACTGCATATATTTTGTGTCATTTCACCTGTCCACCATATATTACCTCTAACCCCATTTTGGACGTATAGTTATAATTTATATTTCTGTAATTGTAGATTACATACTCTGGAGCATTATTGGAAGTTTGCATGAGGAAACTTGTTTTCTATCCTGAAATTGTTGGCTTTATTGAAGATGAAAAAAACCAGTTTCCATCAGTTAAAGTTCAATATGTTTTTAATTCTCCACCAAAGTTAATTATGCTGGATGATGTGGGCCAGCATAAGGAAACAATCAGGTGAGACTTCTTGATTATCCATAAATAAATACCCTGCTTGCACCCTGTTACTGAATATCCCCAAGTAAACTATTAGAATGCTATGACTTTTCAAATGTGTTATTTATTTGCTATTGGAAGCTGATGTGAATGGTAGAATAAAAATTAACATAATTCTGATAAAATTGATATAGAAGTTTTCTGAATGCAGTGATTATTGTGTTTCTCATTTAGTTACCAGGTAGGTGTGTAGGAGTTGGTAAAGCAGCACCCATCATGCAATTGATTAGAAACACTATGCTTATGGATTTTTGTAGTGTGTACTTGTGATGAAAATCATTTTTACAATGAAATAAGAAATCTTCTAAACAGTTATCTGAATTATTTTGCAAGATGTAATAACCTTATCAATTTTTTTATGGTTGCATGGACTCTATAGTGCAGCTGAAGCATGAACTAGAATAGCCACAACAGCTTGGAAAATCATTCTTGAATTGATTTATAATCTATTATGCACCTGCATTCTCTGTACAGAAAAGCAGTTGTGACTTGTGAAAACTATGTATTTTTTTGTGTACTCTTGTTGTCAATATTTCTTTTGCAAAAAGGAGGTGTAAGTTGACATTAATCCTTTTATTATTGTTTGTTTGTTGCAGAATTGATAATTGGAAACGCGAGCATATACTCCAGTATCTGCGAGAGAAGGTAAAACCTTCGGTGGCAGCTGCTTGAGAATATCTCTCCATGCTTTGCACTCTTGTTCTTGTCATAAGCTCAAAAAAAGTGAAAGGAGTATATACTGTAACTTAAACAAACCATTTACACTTGCCCTTGTCACTGCTTACTAGGAACAGATAATTCATGTCATTGGGTTTTTGTGATAATTGATTCTGATAGAAAGTTTACTTTTTTCCAGTTATGGCAATTGTAGAGACAACGTATTGTAAGCCATAAATTGTTTCTTATGGCAACTGTAGAATAATGTGCACCTACTGTTTCAATATCAACTACTGGTTTTGGCATTTCTATAAGATCTGTACTTTGACTATTTTCATCATTGAGTGGATATGAATAAATCTGGTCAAATATTACATCTACACTTGAGATGGAAATATCATAGAAACTGAATTTCATTAAGCTAATCAGTACATGGAACCATTCATCATACAACTAGAATTTTTAAATATACACTTAAAAATCAGCACATAAAACTGAATCATATGTACTTGAAACCTTAACCCCCATCACCAGTTTAAAATTATTAAGGAATGGGATAACTTCTTCATAGAAGAGTTCTTAAAGCTTATGACTATTTTAGGTACTATGATTCCATCTATTAGACAATAAATTTTAATTAGACAATAAATTTTAATGCTAATAAACTTGTTTAGCAACTTGTCAATGTCAACCTTAAGTTTGCTCAGCTGACAGACAAAATTAATCACTGAATTTGAGAAACATCTTTCTCAGAACCGGGCGATGTGGTCTTGATCGGAGCCCAAATGTCTGCACCATTTCCCTCGGCAACTCCAATAGTAAATGAGACAGGAACAAGACATAACCCTCTACTTCTCAAGCTGCATGACTCTGTATCCTGCAGAGGTAACAATCCTATTACAGTGCATAATGTTAAGAATAGTTTTAAGACCACATCATCTAAGTTGACAAAATCCTGTCCAAGGGTTCTCATTGGCGTCAATAATAGTTCATTAATGTCATCTTGAAAAATCCACAAAAGAAACTTCAACCTCGTGCTTAACAGAGATCTTATTCATGTTTTGTAGTAGTAGTATTCATGTTATTCTCACCTGTGTCTGTATTGCTGGTGTAGTTTCGAGGTAAGGAGCACTAAGCAGCTGTTAAAACATTAAAAGAAAACATTTACACAAGATCAAAGTCAAATTGTGTAAACATAATTTGGAATGTGCAACGTCCTTCTAATTTCAGTCCAAGAATATAAGCATGTTTGTGGCATTGTTATTATGATATTAATAACCATACATACGCACAGAGCAGCATGAATGGACAAACCTTAACTTGTTTATGAAGGAACCCTATGTATTCCATAGCCTCCTTTAGAACAGATGACGTATCTGTCTGCAGATAGAAATTAAGCAGTCTTTTAGGCTCACAGAAACTTAGAACATCACTAGTTATAGAACAACTGATTGTGATTTGTCAAATAATGCATTGTGCAAGGAATCAGTTGTTGCATACCTTTCCATAAGGTGAAACAAGCTGTTGAAGAGCAACAATTCGTTCGCCAATCTTTTCCTTTCTATCCTATTGGCCGAAAACATTTGAGATGTCATACCAAAATGGGAGAAAAACACAATCCGAAAAATTCTATTTCAGTGCTATCATATCTTTGAGCATCAAGAAGAGTTCATTGCAACATGTTAGTTGGATACAGAAAATAGTTTGACTTTTAATGCATACAGAAAGAAAAAGGAAATAGTAGTGTTATTAAACAAGAAAAGTTAATAAAGGAGAAAGAAAAAGTAAAGAAACCTTAGTGGTGATCGATAAATCAGGCTTTTGCTTTTTAGACGCAATTGAATTATAATTGCTTTGATCAACAGAGCAAATGCTCCTTTTATGTTCCATCATCTTTCTAACATCTATCCCCTCTTCACTCTAGTAACAACAAAAAAGAAAAACCATATATTAGAAAAGCCATCTATCTCTATCTCCTCCAATGCATAGTATGGGTCGTCTCCAGTCACTTTTGACGGCAGACGATCCATTTAATTAACAATTCAACAAATGTATGATGTGAATCGTCTGATTCAATAAAAGCGATGCAAACCACTCTAATTTGCTCGGGACCGTCTTTGAAAGGAGGCAACCACACATGTTTAAAATTTGTTACAATTAAACTGTGACTGAATCGGACTTCGAACCATATCTAACCTACACGACCTCCAAATACTTAAGACGGCTATGGATTTTAGGGTCTTGATCCTTATCATAAATGTGGAATGCAAAAACTAAAAGCCATAACCCATAACTAGTAAGATTGATTGGTATGTTATGAAAATATTATAACAAAACCAAAAGTGGTCCCAAAGTCTTGATACTAAGGAAAAAGAACAAACCAGCCATGCATTGCAATTTCAAAACACATAAGCTCCTCTTTCCAAATGGCCAAAGGTCATCACTGTCACAAACAATAATTCACATATTCAACACTCCAAAACTATACAAGAACAAAAATCCTCTCTAGATTGTGATTTTATCTACCATATCAAAATTATTTTTTATGCTTCCAAGAGCCTAAAAAATGCTAGGTGGTCCCACACCATTTGTTTTTCTTTTTTAGCTTTGACAAAGACATGCACACATACATATACACACATATACATACACCTTGCATGAATGAATCTAACTTGCGTACAAAATCTCCCCAACCACTTCAGTTGAATAATAAAGGATATCTTAATTGACAAAATGCATAAGGACGTATGAATAATTAATTAGTTTATAAAAAGAAGACAATGACCATTCAAGAGAGAATCGTAAACTTTGCTTTTGGGTTTGTGTTTAAGTTTTGAAAATCATAAAATATATAAACCCAATAATCACTAATTTATACTAAAAAAAAGAACAATTTTGATCATATACAATCTAGAGATAAAGCTTAGGATTTGGACTTCAAAAATCAAACTTTTTTCTTACAACAATCTTTCATCTGAAAAAACAACAAACCCTATTTACTTAAAAGGAAAAAAAAGGGTTTTAAGAACTTACTAAAAACATAGAATCAGCATTGCAGAAGGAGCTAGCTATCATCTAAAACTTTGAAGCAAAAACCCTTTGTGGGTATGTTCCAAAAGCTTGAAAGTTTGTAACTTTATGCAGTGTCTGTGTTCACAATTTCATTCCCAACACTTTTGCATGAAAAATAAAATAAGAAAAACTTGATCAAAGTCAGAGACACCACTACTAGCTCAAAGATTGATAGAGAAAGTGATGAACTGGTTATTGAAGGGAAAAGTAGTGGAAGCTCTCATCAATGGAGGAAAAGGAAAAAGAAACAGAGTTGTTAGAAGAAGAAGAAGAAGAGGGGGTGCAGATTAAGGTGAAAATGTGATTTTATAAACTACAAATAAATGAATAAAATAATAATATTTTTTTGTCAAAAATAATAAAATAACAAAATTCCTTAGGTAAGAATTTTTTAGTTGTATATTGTCATAAATAAACTTGACAGCTATATCCAACCAAGATTTAATTTAATTTTTCTATTTTTTTTCTCCTAATTTTTTTTATGACTATTGACTAAATTGGTGATTTGTGTATAATTTATTTTTTGTGAAAAAATTTAATTGGTATTTTTTTAGTATTTCTAATATTTTTTCCTTCTATTATGAAAAGATAAGAGTGAAATTATTATTTTGAGAGCAAAACATTGATTTAACTTTAAAAATGAAAATGGTTTGAATACCAATTTCCATGAAATAAAACTTACTAAATATAGAAAAGTAATGGGACGTTGAATAAATGGATATTGGTATTATAATAATAAACAGAAATCTAGGATAAGATAATTTTTATCTTTAAAAATAGATTATGTCGGGTTATGGAAAAATGTTTATCATCCATTAATTAAGAAACATTGTGAAATTATATTATTTGTCTACGTCAGGAATCCCTATCTTTCCACCAGAGGACAAATACTTATGACATCTACACTAGTACCTCACTTATTATTATTATTATTATTATTATTATTATTATTATTATTATTATTATTATTATTATTATTATTATTATTATTATTATTATTATTATTATTATTATTATTTAATAGAAAAGCGGTATATTTCACGTTCAGAGATTAATTCTTTAAATCTGATAGAAATATTATGGTAGTTACATTTTATTCACGCTCAATACAATTTAGTAAAGTATTCCACCAAAAATAGAGTTAGCAATGCCTCAAAATATTTTGATCTCTATCTTCTAATTAAATAAAGACAATTACATCATTTAGTTTAAAGATGGATGATCGAAGGATAGAGTTATTATAGTCAAACGAGTTGTACCAATTTTAATTATGAGCGATTTTAATGGATAAATTGAAAGTTTTCAATTCAAAATAAAGACAGTTAGAGACATCAAAAATCTATATATCTATAATAACTTGATACATTGATTATTACTTATCTACCCATATAATCTAACACATTATTTTTTATTGAAGAGAAATCAAACTAAAAAATAAAACAAAAATTGAAAAAAATAAAAATTACATAAAGAGAAAAATAAATGAGAATAAAAAACATATAATTTTTTTTCAAGAAGATAAACAATTTGACATATTCTATTTTTTATTTTAAAGATTTAAATGAGTGGAGAAGGTGATTATAGTCGTGGTCCACACCTAACAGCCAAACACAAAAGAACTGAACGTTGTAGATTTGAAGTTGGGAGTGAACCACAAGAGATATATCTCAAAGACAAAATTGACCGTCATATTCTAGAGGAGCTTGAAGGTTGTAGAGAAAGAGGTTGTCCATGAATCACTAATTACTTTAGGCGTTAAACCATGATTAGTTTAGTTTAATTAATTTATTTGGATTGATCAAGGCGAGGTACCATCTTTGCCACATGTATGGTTGAATATGTATGGTTGCATTTATTGATAATATTTGTTGCGTTTATCCCTAAGTGGTATGTTTCCACTCTTCAATAGAGTGGTCAGCCATAGGCAGAAAGTGTATATCCTTTCTAACTCCTCACTGAGTTTAATCCTCATGGAAGTTTTGATTTAGTTCTCCTTTCCACACTTGGATAGGATAAATCCCCAGTTCGAGCTCATTCCTCACTAGTTAGCATTCTGTTTGGACGATATCTCTCCAGCTTATTCCTGGACTAAGTTGGTCCTTTGACCATTTTGATGACTTGAACTTTTGAATTTAAAGGGCATTTATTCAACGTCTTTTAAATGGTTTACATCCCCATAAAGAATCTGTTGAAAACTTCCCAGTCAGATAAATTTATTCCGCCTTGGAATCTACACCTGACAACAAATGGCGATCTCTTTATTTGAGATGTTTGTTTCTATCTTTGAATTTCCCAGTGAATCGGCAAATGACAGTCTCTTTCTGAGCAGTTTGTCTATCCCCGTTAAAGCTATCGGCATATCAATTTTTTCTTTAATCTTATGACATCTCTCCGAAGAAGTCTCGAAGGGAAGTATGATGAAGGTATTTTTTCAAGCAAATGTCATCTCTCCGGCCTAGCCTCGTAGAGAAGTTTGATTATTGAAATCCTCATTTTACATCACATGGCATCTCTCTGAAGAAGTCTTAAAGAGAAGTACGATGAAGTTTATTTTCCATCAAATGGCATTCCCCAAAGAATCCATGTGAGAAGTTTGATGAAGATCCTTACAAGAAGTTTTTCGCTTTATTTGAGAAACTCATTTTGCAAAATTAAATGACCCACATCTCTTTGAAGATCTCCAGCAAAGTTACTAACCCAACAAGCGATCACCTTTTTAGGAGCTTGTCTGTTTACCCTCCTTTTTCAAGAAGAGACTTGATAAAGAAGAAACCGAGACCAGTTTCGTGGCTTATGTCCAAAAATAAGGGAAACTTTATTCCAGAAAACCGAGACCATTTTTGTGGCTTATGTCCACAAACGAGGGGAAGTTTTTTTCAGAAACCAAGACCAGTTTTGTGGCCTATGTCCCAAAGCGTAGGGAAGTTTGTTTTACCCTTTCTAAGTAATACTACTTAGTCAAAGAAGATGCAAAATTATTTTCCAATGATGAAAACTCAATTGTCAAACTTATAATCCTATCCCTTATGGATTTGTGCCCTTTTCCCGAGTGGAGTTGTTCCCCTCTTCCCAATAGAGTTACAATGTTTTTCTCAATTCTTTCTTTCCCCAGTGGGTAATCCATTTTTTATTTCCCCCAGTGGTTTAGATAGTTCTCAGTATCCTATAGTATCATTTCCCACAGGTCTCATATCTTGCATTCATATCATATTACCCTTTGTGGCTTCTTAGGGGCCAAAATTGTGCATTATTGTATTTAAGCCTCCCTTATCTGATCGAGACTAAGATGTCAATCTTCATCTCACTAAATAGAAGAAACTTAAATAGGGGCATCTGTCATACCATAATTTTTTTACCCCTAAGATGCCACTTCATTAACCATATTCATCATTACATATGTGTGTGTGTCTTTATGCCTCACTAACCCATATCAAAAACAAGATGTGTGTGCTTGTTTACTTTACAGGTTAGGTAGCCCCTCAAGGGCTCAAGTAGATGAATGGTCAAAAGATATGCATCATATCCAACATCTTAAGTCCCCAATTCATTCATAAAAATCAATAGCTTCCATTCATCCATAATCAAGTGCAAGATTGCATCATGACAAGCTCATCAACCCTCAAGACCCTCAATGCACCAAAATTAGGGTTTTGACCTAATTCAAGTCCCTTATTTGACTTTTGGATTAATGCATGATCCAAAACCTCAAGATATGTTTCAAGGACCTCAAATCCTTATATCAGTGCATTCTTATGTTCGAATTAATCCAAAGAACTTGATTCATAAGTATTGCAAGAATTCAAATTCATCTAGACCATAAACTAGGGTTCCTGATGAAAAACTCAACTACACCTTTGACTTTTGACCAAGACATGATCTCAAACCTTAAGAAAAGATTCAAGACGCTCAAAAACACCTTTGGAGTCCATCCATAGTGTTTAGTTAGCCTCAAGGTTTGATTTCATAAAAGATCACCAAATTCAAAGTTCATCTGATACAAAAGTCAACTATGGTCAAAATCAAGTTTGACTTTTGAAGATTTTAGTCAACCATGGTTTCTTCAATTCAATAATGATGTTAAAATATGATTTGGATCATGAATGATAAATAAAAATAGGTTACTTGTAAAAAGTGCAACCACGAAGAAATGGAAAATTTTCCAAGTTATGAGAAAACCCTAATTTGGGGTAAACTTTGCAAAGGTATAACTTCCAAACCAAGCAACCATTTTCTTTGATCCAAAGATCAAATTGAAGAGCTTGTTATATACTAAAACTTTGTCAATGAAGAGGGATTCCTAAAAGGTGCATAGATTTTAAGATATAAGGCCATGAAGTTAGGGTTTAAATACTTTTTAAACTTTGACACTTAGTGGAATTTTAGGTAGAATCTGTTTTATGTTGAAGCCAACGTTAAGGCTATTTTTCACTATGGTCCACATTGATTCAAGGAAAAAAAATTAAACATCAAACTTGAAGTACATTATATCAGCTTTCCAAAATGATCAAGAACATCCAAATCCTTTACTTAAGCCAGAAGTTATGGATGTTGCAATAAGGCTTGATCAACCTGAAGTTCCAAGACAGATTTGCAACATGTTTGTTTCACACGATTTGGATAAGTCTCGCAAATATGAATTCTTCATAAGATCAACTCCCAAATGATCATACCAGCATGTGCTCTGCAAGTATAACTGAATTTTCAAAGATTCATCACTTAGCATGTGAAAATGATCATTTTAAAAGCAAGGAAGTGAAATTCTGCCCTCTAGCATTAAAGTGGAATAATGATTTTGGGCAAAAATCCTCCAATATATTAGAAATTGATCAGAGCATCAAAGGATGGGATGAAACCATGAGGAACCAAGCTCAAAATATCAGAATTTAAGCTATGTGAATAATAACCCATGTGTACCTTGGCTTCCAAGTTATAAGTGCATGACATCACTTGTTGGATAATGATTTGCATCCCAATCCTTTCAAGTTCAAAATATTAGACCTATT